CCCCTCCCCCTCTTCTCCCGCCCTCACCCCCTCACCCCTCGCCACTCCCCACCATCACCCTCCCCCCCCCAGTGCTAGCGCTGGTGACAGCGGAGGTGCAGAGCTGCACGTTTGAGCGCAACAGTGTGTCGGGGTCGGGAGGAGCCATCTACAGCGAGGCACGGGGTACCACAGAGTCCCTTCCTGTTGTGCGAGACGGCCAAGGGTCCCATTGTCACACGAGCACCACTACCCACTCCCCACCACCCACTCCCTTACCCCTTCTCTCTCTCCTCCCCCCCCCCCACACCCACCACCCACCCACTCCCTTACCCCTTCTCTCTTCCCCCCCCCACACCACCACCCCACACTCCCCCCTCTTCCCCGCCCTCTCTTCCACCCTCCACCACCCCGCCAGTGCTGGCGCTGGTGACGGCGGAGGTGCAGAGCTGCACGTTTGAGCGCAACAGTGTGTCGGGGTCGGGAGGAGCCATCTACAGCGAGGGCACGGGGTACCTGCGCATCATGGGGTCTACTTTCACTGCCAACTCCGTGCAGCTCAAGGACGGCGGTGCTCTCTATGTCATTGCGGTGAGTGAAGTGCTGCTGGGGCAGAGGGGGACAGGTGGGGAAGGGTGGGGATGGGTTGGATGGGCAGGTCACGGGTGCCATACCATCTGCAGCGAGGGCACGGGGTACCTGCGCATCATGGGTCTACTTTCACTGCCAACTCCGTGCAGCTCAAGGACGGCGGCGCTCTCTATGTCATCGTGGTGAGTGGGAAAGGGTGGGGAAGGGTTGGGAGGGATGTTCAAGAAACAGATGCAACAGCTCAGCTCACGCCTTGTGTTTGCTCTTTCCCCATCTTTCCTTCTCCTCCTCGCCTCAACCACAGGCAGGCAGCGCAGGGCAGCGTTCACGGGCAACAGAGCCTACAGCTCAGCTCACCCCTTGTGTTTGCTCTCCCTCCTTTCGTTCCCCTTCTCCTTTCTCGCTGCCTTCACCCGCCTTCCCTCAACCTAGGCGGACAGCAACGTGACAGTGCAGGGAAGCACGTTCAGAGGCAACAGAGCCAACAGCTCGCGAGGGGCCGCCATCTTCAGTGGGGGGTCGCTGCTGCAAGTAGATGACTCTCTGTTTGAGGAGAATTGGTCCTACCTCAAGGGCGGCGCTGTCACAGTTGAAGGCTCTCGAGGCGCAGAAGCAACCACCCTGGGGCGCTTCTCAAACACCACCTTCACCAGAAACACCTCCCCGGTGGGGGGAGGCGCATTCCTGTGCAGCCTCAACTGCACCGCCGATCTCACCAACTGCACCTTCTCCGAAAACAACAGCACTGCCGCCGGCGCCCTACTCGCGCAGGAAACCTCCTCCCTCACCTTCCGATCCTCCTCCTGCCAGGGCAACGCCGCGGACGCAGCAGGAGGGTGCCTATTGGTCACGGATTTCGCGACTATTACGGCGGATGGAGCAAGTTTCGGGAGAATAGGGCGGGGAGTGGAGGCGGGGTGGGGAAGGTGTCTGGGTCAGGGAGGCTGGTGATGACCCGGTGTGAGGTGGAGGCCAATGAGAGCCCGACAGGTGGCGCGCTGTGGGTGGAGATGGAGGGTGTGGTGGAGGATACGCGGAGTAGCTTCACGGGTAACAAGGCGAGTTTCGAAGGCGGGGCAGTTTTTGCCACACACAGCGCCACTGTGACGCTGCTCTCGTCGCAATTCGGGTCGAATTCCGCGCTGAGAGGCGGGGGTATGGTTCTGGATACAGATGCGACTCTCACCTCCACCTCCTCCTCTTTCCTCAACAACTCCGCTTCGGCTCTTCTTATTAGGGGGAGTTCTCAGGCTACTCTCACTACAGCGTTTTTCTCGGGCAATTCGGCCCCTGCGGGCACCGGAGGGGCCATCTGGGCAGCTGCCGAAACTTCTCTCACGGTCCGATCGAGCAATCTGACGAACAACACGGCTGTCACGGGCGGCGGAATCTTTTCGGAAGGGTCTGCCCAGGTGACCCTGGATGCGTCGCGATTCGAGGGGAACAACGCGGTTACTGGCGCGGCGCTTGCTGCTGCGGGCAGCTCGAAATTTTCGGCAGGGAACCTGACACTCGTGAAAAACAGCGCAAGCCGTGCGGGGGGGGCGGCGGCGTTTTTGGACCAATCAAACGGGTTATTTAAGGGGGCGTGGATGACTGGGAACAAAGCGGTGGTGGGCGGTGCAGGGGTGTACGTGAAGCGAGCAGAGACTCTCGGGATTACCTCCTCTGGAGCTGCAGCTGCTGGAAATTCTACTGGTGCTCCGGCTACTGGATCAGCGCCAGCTGCTGCTGCTGCTGCCGTGAATGATGCGGGTAGTGCAGCTAGTGCTGCAAGCGGCGCAAACAGCAGCAGCAGCATGGGAGTAGGAAAGGCTGAGCTGGCTCCGCTGGTGTGCTCAAACCTCACATTCAGTGAGAACGAGGCCTTGTACCCGCAAGGAGTGGCCTTCTACGAAGCTTCCTTCAACCCTGCAGTGCGCATCGGGTGCGACGAGTGCGTGCGGGAGCAGGAGAGCCAGACCATAGGCAGCATCCCCAAGAACTTCTACTTCACATTCACAGGCATGGATGAGGGGGCTAACGGCCTCGGCACGGTTCCGTCCTTTGTGGCTCTCACGGCTGTGGGGACGCCCATCGCAGGGCTGACGGTGGTCATTGTGGACGACTACAACAACACTGTTGTTCAGGTGGGTGCTCAGGTGGTTTCAACAGTAGCAGCTCACAGCTCACTCCTCCTCCTTGACTCAATGCGAATGCCACCTTCCTTTTTTCCCCTTCCCTCTTCCCCGTCCCCCATCACATCCCCTGTTCCCCATCCCATCCTCAGGACAACTCGTCCTTTGTCGCAATCGCTCCCGATCGTCGCATCTCGGGGTTGCTGCGAGCAACAGCGGTGCAGGGACTGGCCGAGCTGCCAGAGGTCTCCGTCATGGTCACTCCCGACGAGGCCACGCCCTTCCGCCTCCTCGTCACCGTCTCCAGCCCCACTAATGAGTTCCCCGATATAACACACACCTTCACTGTAGACTTCTGCGCTGCGGGAACCTTTCTGAATACAACCTCGGAAGATGGAACCGGGGGGGACGGTGGTGGTAGTAGTACCAGCAGTACTGGGAGTGGGACATGTGACCCCTGCCCTGTCGGTAGTTGGTGCGAGGCTGGTCAACCGTCCACTCCCTGCGACGACGGCAGCTTCACGTTCTACCCCTACTCCACTAGCGCCGACGAATGTGTAGCGTGCGAGGATGACAATCTGGATTGCACGGGCGGCGAACTGACGATCGCGACGCAGGCGTGGTTGGATCCCAGGACGTATAATGACACGCCGACCACGTACAGCTGTATTATCACCAATGGGTGTGTGGAGCACCTGTATGAGTACAACCTCACCACCAACACCGCGGATGTTGAGATCTGCCCCACCGGCTACGACCCCTCCTCTCCGTAAGCACTGTTTACGGCCCTTTGGGCCCTCCTCACCGTAAACTCACTCTTTTGCCCCTCCTTCCCGTGAGTGTGCTGCCTTTTTCCCCTCCTCTCCTCAAGTGTGGTGCGCTTTGCACTTCCTTTCCGTGAGTGTGCTGCTGCCTTGGCCCCTCCCTAGTTTTGAGGCGCCTCAAAACTAGTTTTGTTTTGAGGCGCCTCAAAACCTTTTTCCCCTCCTCTCCTCAAGTGTGGTGCCCTTTGCACTTCCTTTCCGTGAGTGTGCTGCTGCCTTGGCCCCTCCCTCTCCCTTCCTTTATCATGCTCCTTGGTCCCTTCGCCCTCCGCTGTAGTGCACCAATGTGCCAGACATGTTCGAAACATCTCAAGTATTTCTGAGGCGCCTCAAAAGTTTTGAGGCGCCTCAAAAGTTCCCTCCGCCCTCCGCTGTAGTGCACCAATGTGCCAGACATGTTCGAAACATCTCAAGTATTTCTGAGGCGCCTCAAAAGTTCCCTCCGCCCTCCGCTGTAGTGCACCAATGTGCCAGACATGTTCAAAACATCTCAAGTATTTCTGAGGCGCCTCAAAACTTTTGAGGCGCCTCAAAAGTTCCCTCCGCCCTCCGCTGTAGTGCACCAATGTGCCAGACATGTTCGAAACATCTCAATTATTTCTGAGGCGCCTCAAAAGTTCCCTCCGCCCTCCGCTGTAGTGCACCAATGTGCCAGACATGTTCGAAACATCTCAAGTATCTCCCCCCTCGCCCACCCGCTCCACCTTGCCCCTGTTTCTTCCTGTTTCTCGGTCCTTCCGTCTCTCCCTGCGGCATGTGCTGTCCGTGATTCTACATCTCAAGGATCTCTCCTCTGCTTGGCCCACCCCATCCCCCTTCTGCATCCCCCCTGTCCTTCCTGTTCCTCCGTCCCTCCATCATCCCCCCTTGCAGCATGTGCTGTCTGTGCGCCAACAACTACTACTCGTTCCTCGGCGATTGTACTTAGAGTCGACTCGAAAGCCTTTCCTTCCTTTTCCTCGTTCCCCTTCACCTCTACCTGCAGCATGTGCTGTCTGTGCGCCAACAACTACTACTCGTTCCTCGGCGATTGTAACTACTGCAGCGACGTTTTCAAGAAGGTACGCTGTAACTCTTATGGCACATGTGCTTGCCAACCAATGTCTGTGGGTGTTATTGTTCCTGTTTTTGATTCAAATCAATACCCGATGTAACTCTTAGGTACATGCTCTCGCCAACAACCACTTGTGTTCTCACTCACACCTGTGTGTCCCTCCGTACCTCTGTGCCCTGTATGTATGCGCCTTCACTCCCCATCTCCTGCCACTTCCCTGTCAACCCACCCCTACTACCCCGTTTCCCCCACTTCCCTCCCACACAGCTCTTCCCGCTGCTCTTCATCCTCATGATTGGAGTGTGGGTGGCCATGTTTCTCCTTGCCAACAACCACTCATGTGCTCACACCTGTCTTGCATTGCACCCCCTACCCCTCCCCTCCCCCTTTCCACACAGCTCTTCCCGCTGCTCTTCATCCTCATGATTGGAGTGTGGGTGGCCATGTTTCTCCTTGCCAACAACTATGACAACATCGACATCTTTCTCACCGAGGTACCTCCAGTTTCCATGCTAGATACATGCCGTTTAAGTCAACTCCAAAGTAGTAGCCCTTCCTTCCTGCTCCTCCCCCTCGCCAACAACTATGACAACATAGACATCTTTCTCACCGAGGTACTTGCTTGCCAGGCACATGTGCGTACGTACAACTTGTGAGACTATCTTTGAAAAGTCTCGAAATTCCTCAGGGTTGGGAGTGTGGGTGGCCATGTTTCTCCGTGCCAACGTTTGAGGCGCCTCAAACGTGTGGGTCGCCATGTTTCTCCGTGCCAGCAACTACGACAACATTGACATCTTTCTCACCGAGGTACCTCCAGGTTCCATACCTGCGAGGCATGTACTCGACCCCACCAGGTGCATTAACCCCGCCGCCCATGAGCCTGATTTATCAACCCGAACCTCTTTTCCCTCCTTCAAAATCCCTTTGATGTCCCTTCCATACACCCTCACCAGGTGCAATACCTCACAGTCGTGGCCTCCATAAACCTGAACGCTGAATGCAGCAGGCCTGTCAACCCTGCTCTTTAACATCACCCACGCCCGGCCCCTTCCCCCATCGCCCTACCAGGTGCAATACCTCACGGTCGTGGCCTCCATAAACCTGAACGCACCAGCAGCGCCAAATGGATGGGTGGGGTGGCTCATCAAGATCTACAAACCTCTCCGTCTTCGACCCCGTGAGTGCCACGCACATGCATGCACGCATGCTACCATGCACTGAACCTGTGGTGTTCCATGGGTCACTTGCCAAATGGGTGGGTGGGATGGCTCATCAAGATCTACAACCTTTCCGTCTTGGAAGTTCGACCCCGTGAGTGCCACGCTGTCTCGTGCATGCATGCTTGCTGCTTGCTTCTCTTCCCATAACCTCAGCCTTGCATGCGCATGTGTGCAAGCATGGCCCATCAAGATCCACAACCTCTCCGTCTTCGACCCCGTGAGTGAAATCCGCGTGCATTTTCAATTCAAGCTACACCACCATCAGGTGTAGAGCTTTACGAGTCGTGATGTTGCAGCCACGCATTCTTCTCTTCGTCACCTCACCCTACACAACCCCATCTTCCCCACTCCGTCTCTCCACCCTACTTACCTCCCATGCTTCCCTGTTGCGCCCTTCCCCCTCCCTCTGCCCTCCTCTCCCCTTCCCCCCCCCTCCACCCTCCCCACTCGTCCCCGTCTCTCCTCTCCCTCTCCCCCGTCCCCCTTCCCCCCACAACTGCAGGACGTGGGTGGACCCAACTGTGTGCTGACCTACCGCTTCCCGCCAGCAGTTTGTGTTTGAATCCTCATCTGCCTCGTCGTCTACGCTCTCCACTGGTGCCTCTTCCTCTTCCGCCAACACATCAAGCTGCTCAACGCCAAGAGGACAGCTCCCCTTCTCTCCCTCCCCTCTTCCACTCACCTTCCCCCTCCTTTCCCGTTCTCTCCTCTCCCTCTCCCCCGTCCCCCTTCCCCCCACAACTGCAGGACGTGGGGACCCAACTGTGTGCTAACCTACCGCTTCCCGCAGCAGTTCGTCTTCGGAATCCTCATCTTCCTCGTCGGCCTCGTGGTCTACGCGCTGCACTGGTGCCTCTTCCTCCTCCGCGAGCATATCAAGCTGCTCAAGGCGAAACGGACAGCTGAAAACGGCGAGACGAGCGGAGTCGGGCAGCTGAGCAGCACGGCGGCGAAGCAGCGGAGGCAGGAGTATTACAACGGGCTGGTCGGTGGTGTTGCGAGCTGGCTGGACGTTTGTTACATGGGTATTCTCGCCCGCGTGCTGCCCGTCTTCCAGAGCCAGATGGTCGGGGATACCAAGGTACGCTGTGCGGGTGTTTAGTGCGGTGTACACATGTGTGGTATGGTTTCCAGAGGTGTGCCTGTGAATGGAGGCTACGAGTGGGTGGCTGGGCATGGGGCAGCGGAGCAGCACGGCGGCGAAGCAGCGGGCGGCAGGAGTATTACAACGGGCTGGTGGGGGGCGTGGCGATGCTGGCTGGATGTGTGCTACATGGGTATCCTCGCCCGCGTGCTGCCTGTCTTCCAGAGCCAGATGGTTGGGGACACCAAGGTGCGGTGTGGGGGTGTCTAGTGCGGTGCTTGTGTGTAGTATGGTTTGCTGGGTGTGTGTGATTGAGAGGTGGGTGGTCTGGTGGGGGGAGTGGCGAGCTAGCTGGATGTGTGGTACATGGTTATTCAGGCGGAGATTGAGTGGCTGTCAGCAACGCACACGGGCAATGCTCATCCCCTCCACCATCATCCTCATCGTCTACCTCTCAATCCTCCCCATAAGCTATGTCCCATGCCTCATGCCTTCTGCCCCCTGCCCCCTGCTTCCCCCTCCCAGGTGATGCTGTTTGTCCCGGAGATCGAGTGGCTATCCTAAACGCACATGGGCATGCTCATCCCCTCCATCCTCCCCTTCTTTAGTCTATCAAAGCTAGTCCCAAACCTCATCGCTCACCTCTCGTTACCATCTCTTCCCTCCCTCTCCCTCCCTCCCAGGTGATGCTGTTCGCTCCGGAGATCGAGTGGCTATCCTCGACGCACATGGGCATGCTCATCCCCTCTATAATCATCCTCATTGTCTACCTCGCGGGCGTGCCGCTGCTCTACGCGTGCTGCTCTTCTCAGCCAAGTGGAACCGCACGCTCTTCACCGCTGAGTTTGACGACAAATACGCTTTCTCACAGAACGATTCGGCCGCAAATTCTACTGGTAAGGTTTCCGCTGCTGGTGCTGGTGGTGCTGGGAACGAGGGTGTTGTGTGGTGCTAATTCTGGTGAGTTTGGTGCTGCCTGCTGCTGGTACTGGTGCTGCTGGAGGTGAGGGTGCTGCTATTCATGCCCCTGCTCTATGCGTGGCTGCTCTTCTCAGCCAAGTGGAACCGCACGCTCTTCACCGCCGAGTTTGACGACAAATACGCTTTTCTCACCGAGCGATTCGGCCGCAATTCTACTGGTAAGGGCTCTCGTGGTGCTGGTGCTGCTGGGGGAGAGGGTGTGCTGGTTCTGGTGCTGCCACTGGTGCTGCTGCTGGTGAAGGTGCTGTAGGGTGTGAGTGTGCTGCTAACTCACCGTTGGCTGTACTCTTGGCTGATAATTCCTGCCATCTTCCTTTCCTCCCCTCCCGTTTCCCCACCCCTCTTGTCCCCCACCGTCTCCTCCTCTCTTTTCCCCCAGGTGGCACCTGCTCAACATGTCGTTGCGAGTGCTGTACGGATGCATCCTCGTCTTCCTCTACCAGAACCCCGAGATTCATTCCCCTTTCCCATCTCCCCTTTTTCTCAACCCCAGCCCTCCAGGTGGCACCTGCTCAACATGTCGCTCTGGGTGCTGTACGGAGGCATCCTCGTGTTCCTCTACCAGAACCCCGAGGCTCACTCCCCTCCCCCCCCTCGCTTCCCCTTCACCTCCACAAAACCCATCACCCCTCCCCCAGGTGGCACCTGCTCAACATGTCGCTGCGAGTGCTCTACGGCTGCATCCTTGTCTTCCCCTACGAGAGCCCCGAGGCTCACCCTCCTTCCCCTTTCCCTGTGTACACCCCCTCTTCACCACCCCTCCCCCAGGTGGCACCTGCTCAACATGTCTCTCCGGGTGCTGTACGGATGCATCCTCGTCTTCCTCTACGAGAACCCCGAGGCTCAGATCATCATCCTCGTCGTCCTCCAGATCCTCCGCATTGTCGTCGAGTACCGCTTTGCACCGTTCACCTCCTCCTCTGTCGAGTACCTTCAGGCCACCCTCAACCTCGGTGAGTGCTGATTTGCTCTGTGCATAAGTTTCCCTTGAACCTCCTCTAGAGTTCCGCTTTGCACCGTTCGCGTCCTCCTCTGTCGAGTACCTTCAGACCACCCTCAACCTCGGTACGTAACCCCACACAGTGTTGCTGTGATAGGCACCTGAAAGAGAGAGGTGTTTTTCACGCTATCTCTGCTCATCTTCAACTACACATCCGAGTCCATCCTCTCAGAGGTCATCATGGCCATCAGCACCGTCCTCATGCTGCTGCCCGCCATCGTGGCCATCAGCTACGAGGTCTCGAGCTACTTTCCCTTCTCCTCCTCATGCTCCCTTCTGCTCCTTCCAAAGCCTTTCCCCCCTCTTTCCCTCCTCCTGCCCCCCTTCCTATTCCCTGTTCTCCCCTCCTTCCCCTCCCCCAGGAGAGGTGTTTTTCACGCTGTCGCTGCTCATATTCAACTACACATCCGAGTCCATCCTCTCAGAGGTCATCATGGCCATCAGCACCGTCCTCATGCTGCTGCCCGCCATCGTGGCCATCAGCTACGAGGTGTCGAGCAAGCGAATGGAGGCGTTTAACAACAGTGTGCTGGACGAGATCTGGGAGCAGGAGAGCGGCAAGAGAGAGGACCAGCTGAGGGGGCTCGACCCTTATCAAATCGTGCAGCTGACGCAGGTGGGTGGGGTGTCTGTGTTTGTGCATGCATGTGTGTGCCTGTGTCTGCCCGTGCGCCTGTGTGTTGGAGTCAGGAGAGAGAGAGGACCAGCTGAGGGGGCTCGACCCGTACCAGATCGTGCAGCTGACACAGGTGGGTGGGTGGTTGATCCGTGGTGTGCGTCCGTGCCTGCCTGTCTGTGGGAACAAACACGGCTTTTGAGTCGACTCAAAAGCAGGGGCTCGTCTTTGCAGTCGACTCAAAAGCAGGGGCTCGTCTTTGCAGTCGACTCAAAAGCAGGGGCCCGTCTTTGCAGTCGACTCAAAAGCAGGGGCTCGTCTTTGCAGTCGACTCAAAAGCAGGGGCTCGTCTTTGCAGTCGACTCAAAAGCAGGGCTCGTCTTTGCAGTCGACTCAAAAGCAGGGGCTCGTCTTTGCAGTCGACTCAAAAAGCAGGGGCTCGTCTTTGCAGTCGACTCAAAAGCAGGGGCTCGTCTTTGCAGTCGACTCAAAAGCAGGGGCTCGTCTTTGCAGTCGACTCAAAAGCAGGGGCTCGTCTTTGCAGTCGACTCAAAAGCAGGGGCTCGTCTTTGCAGTCGACTCAAAAGCAGGGGGCTCGTCTTTGCAGTCGACTCAAAAGCAGGGGCTCGTCTTTGCAGTCGACTCAAAAGCAGGGGCTCGTCTTTGCAGTCGACTCAAAAGCAGGGGCTCGTCTTTGCAGTCGACTCAAAAGCAGGGGCTCGTCTTTGCAGTCGACTCAAAAGCGTCCGTGCCTGCCTGTCTGTGAGAACAAACACCAAGTGGGAGGACCAGCTGAGGGGGCTCGACCCCTGCCAGATCGTGCAGCTGACGCAGGTGGGTGGGGAGATGGGTGGGAGGGTGGGTGCGAGCATGGGTGGGCGGGTGGGTGGGTGCATTTGTGCACCTGGCTTGGAGAGTGGTTCCGACCTGGAGCTCTCTTCCCAGTTCCTGCACCCTGCCAGGGCATTGACCTGCTGCTGAGGGTGCCAACCCAAGCCCACGTTCCTCCCTATGCCTCCCCTCCCCCTCCTCCCTTTCTTCTCCTTCCCCTTTTCCCCACCCTCGCAGATAGGAGAGCGGTTCCCCCCTTCCGCCCACTGGCGCTCTTCCAGTTCGTGCATCACTGTCAGGACATCGACCTGCTGCTGAGGGCGTCAACCTCCCTTCCCCCCCCTCCCTTGCGTCCCTCTCACCTTATCAGATAGGAGAGTGGTTCCGCTCGCGTGCGCTCTTCCAGTTCCTGCACCACCGCCAGGGAATTGGCCTGCTGCTGAGGGTGCGGGACCGCGTGCAAGCATGCTCTCTTCCTCCCTTCCTTCCTCCCGCCCTTCCAGATCGGAGGGTGGTTCCGGCCGCCTATGTGGAGAAAAACGCGTCCTGCGTCTAGGACGCTTGCGTCCAGACGCAGCGTCTTAGACGCAGGACGCTAGAGGAGGGCCTTTAGGACGCATGAAAAGACGCATGCCCGGGCAGGGCAAAAAAAACCCCTGGGCAGTCGAAAAATGATGTTATAGGGTATGGGAAGGGGGGGGGGGGGGGGAACGACGATGCACACATTTGAGGCAAAATCGTCCCCTTAACATTTCCAGGGTTTAGGGTTTACGAAGGAGAATTGTCTTGGTAAACCCTCTAGGGTGTTTTTGATGGTCGAAATGGGTTAGGGGGGGTCGACATGACGCGAAATTGAGATTCGCGTCGAAATCGTTGAAGTCAATTTTGCGCTGAGGCAAAAAAAAATTCCGGTCAGCCCGAAAAAAAAGCGGGGTGCGTCCTGCGTCTAGACGAGCGTCCTGCGTCTCTGCGTCTGGACGCTGCGTCCAGACGCACGACGCAGCAGGACGCGTGCGTCTTTCTCCACATAGCTGGCCGCGTGCTCTCTTCCAGTTCCTTCATCATCGTCAGGGCATTGACCTGCTGCTGAGGGTGCGGGACCGCGTGCAAGCGTGCTCCCTGGCAGGCCTCGGGGAGGTCGAGTGGATCGAGCAGCTGAGATAACCCCAGCAGTACACGGGTCTCTCCCAGATCCTCACCTTAGTCTCCCTATCCACTTCCCTCGCCTCCCCTCCCGTGCATACCCCTTGCATCACCAGATAGGAGGGTGGTTCCGCCCGCGTGCTCTCTTCCAGTTCCTTCATCATCGTCAGGGCATTGACCTGCTGCTGAGGGTGCGCGACCGCGTGCAAGCGTGCTCCCTGGCAGGCCTCGGGGAGGTCGAGTGGATCGAGCAGCTGAAAAAGCCCCAGCAGTACGCCGGTCTCTCCCAAATCCTCCTCGGAAACAAAAAGGGTTACATCCCCGTCGCGCGGTTACCACCTCAGGGAGTGTACTGTCTGCTGCACGGGGTGTGGCATGCGGACGGGGCGTGCACGGCTGCCCAGGCTGCGGCGGCGGCTCGGCGCCGAACCAACCGCCGGACCAAGTCGCGAAGCAGCCGGGTTTCGTTCGGGGGAGGGATGGGAGAGGGAGGGCCGGAGACTCCTGGGAGTGGGCTGAGGAGAATGGTGAGCTGGGGGTCGAACACACCTGGAGGGGCCAGTATGAGGGAGAAACCTGTTAAGAGTCTCAAGATTGCTGAGAAGAGTTGGCCTCCGCAGCTTGGGAGGAAAGTGCACTGGTGCCCTGCTTCGGGATTCGATCCCCTTGCGGCGACGAAGAGGTTCGGGAGCGGGAGGATGGGTGCTGGTGGGATGGCTGGGACTCCTACGGGAGGAGGCGGGGGATGGGGAGGAGGAGAGGAGGCTAGAACGCCGTACCCTGTTGCCCCGGAAACCCCGACTGGCATGCCTGAAACTCCTGTTACCCCTGCTGCCCCTGCGGCCCCTGCGCCTGCGGCTGCTGTTAATGGTGGTGGGGATGGAGACTCAAAGCCAAAGAAGCGGCTTCTCAGGCAGCTGTCGGATCGAGATGACAGCGACACAGAGGGAGCAGCAGCAGGAGCAGGAGCGGGAGCAGGAGCGGGAGGGGGAGGGGCAGGGAGCAGGCCTGGTACAGCAGGAACGCCAGGAGCGGGAGGAGGGATCATGCGAGGGGCAATCAGCCGACCGGGGAGTTCAGGAGGGGCGGCGATCGGAGGGGCGGGCGGGGGGGGGATGGAGGTGGTGCAGGCGAATCTGGACATGGCTGAGTTGACTTTTGCGTTCCAGTCGAACCTGGCTCTGCTGGTGAAGGCTGAGAAGAAACGTAAGGTGCAGAAGGAGGCGCTAAGGCAGATCATCCACTCCAAGGCGACTTACCACATTCTCAGCTGGTTTACAAGCGAGGAGAGGTGAGTTTTGGTGCTGTGCGGTGCGGAGAGGTGAGGAGTGTTGTCAAAGGGTGAAGGGGCACGGAAGGGCCAAGGGCAGAAGTTGAGGCTCTGCGGCAGATCATCCACTCCAAGCCCATGTACCATTTTCTGAGCTGGTTCACCAGTGAAGAGAGGTGAGTGGTGGTGCTGTGTGTGCTCTGTTTCTAAGGTGAGGTCCAGGGGCAGTGGGCAGTGGGCAGAAGGAGGCGCTGCGACATATCATCCACTCCAAGGCGACTTATCATATTCTGAGCTGGTTCGCCAGTGAAGAGAGGTGAGATGGAGGTGTGCGAAGAGAGGTGAGTGGTGGTGCGGTGAGGTGAGATGGAGGTGTGTGAAGGGAGGTGAGTGGTGGTGCTGTCGAAAGGGGCACGTAATGTCACACAGCAGAAGGTGAGGTGCTGCGGCAGATCATCCACTCCAAGGCCACGTACCAGCTCACTGGTTCCCCAGGGAGGAGAAGTTAGTGGTGGTTCACGATCAGATGCTGTTTGTTGTAGCGCTTGTGAGGGGGGTGAGGACTTCTGAGGCGCCTCAAAAGTCGCCGCAAAACGCGTCTCAAAAGAGGTAAGTGGTGTTTCACGATCGGAGGCTGTTTGTTTTGGAGTTTGTGAGGGGGGCAGAGCTGGTGAAGGCGGTGAGGCAGGCAGCAAGGTATTTCCAGCTCGATCCTGCCATCTCTCTCACCCTCCCCCACCTCCCCCTCCTTCCCCCCTCCCACTTCCCTTCCCACACATGCCGCCAACCCCAATCCCCTCTTCCTCACCAGCACGGTGGACGATCAGAGGCTGTTTGCAGAGCTGGTGAAGGCGGTGAGGCAGGCGGCCAAGACGCGCAAGAGGTCCATGCGCTGGCTGCAGGGCGCTCAGTGCTTCTACCCTGGGGAGGGCCGCCTCACCAACCAGCTCTCCAAGATGCTGTAAGTTGATGCTCTCTCTCTTGAGTCACCTCGGGACGCGGCACATGTTTTGGCTTTGCCAGGATCGAGGGAGGATCGAAGCCCGTACACCGATTCTCCCACATCGACCGGCACACCGATGTGCACACACTGCAAATTTGCAGTGTGGTAGACACGTCGAGCCATGGGTGCCAGGATCGAAATCGCATATTCGGGCGGGAGGCGGAATACACCAACAACTTGGTCGTTATCCATTCAGAGCGAAGCACATCTGGTCGTTATCCAATCAATTTTGGCCTGCGACCTTGGGCGACGCCGATCGGTCACGTCACGTCTGTCACCTGTGGCGCGTTGTACCCTCCCGCCAACCCAAACGCACGATCGATGCGTGCACTTGGGCACATCGATCGTGGGAGCTGCAGGTGCCACCATCTTGGGTACCCGTTTACTGTACCTTTTAGATTTCCCTGCGAAAAATGGATACCAGGCATTGGTAATGTCGCCAATATACTGTACGAGGGGCATATCGATCCCCTCCCACGGTCGATCCTGGCATTATGAATACAGGTGCCGCGTCCTTAGAAAGAGCTCCATGCGCTGGCTGCAGGGTGACTCATCACATCAGTTCTCCGAGGTCCCGTGGTTTTTGCTTACTATTTTTTCGTCTATTCTCTTTTCTTGCCACAAATATTGCTGTCTTTGTAGCCAAGCCATGTGTTGAGTTGCGCATTCCAGAGTTGCAATTTCGAGTGTGTACTATGAGATTTCTTCATGTCTTCATGTTGGCTGTGTGCTGCAGGAGTGAAGAGCGCCCACTTGACAACAATGAACCTAATGGAATGCGAATGGAGCCTTAGCTCCCTGTGATCGAACGAAGTTGTTATATATATGAAAAAAAAATATGTGTGCTGTATTATACCGGGACAACATACCCGTCCTATTTATTTTGCAAATAGCTGACATGCTTCGGCTCAGCCATGAGATTTTGTTTACTTGAGTTGGCTTCATTGGAGCTAGCACTGTGTCTTGAGGGTTTTGCTGAAATACTTTGATAGTAGGTGTAGAACAATGATGGGTTTTGCTGAACAATGAGGGCTTGTTTCATTAGGGGAAAACCTCCTAACGATTATGAACCTGGGTGGCTTTCTGGAGTCCGTGCAGCGTAGGGTAATTGGTCGTTGGATTCTTGTGGACAGCCCACGTCGGAGAACTGGTGATGGAGATAATCCAGGCGAGATGAATCTGACGCAAAAATCTCACCGATATTGGTACTGTTCTGTACATGCAGTGGCATGAACGCATCCGTTGCTTATCCACCACCAGAAACTGTTCCCAGTTGCGTCAATCACCTCCACAGCTGGGGAGGCAGGATCTCAATCCTCCATCTGAACCATCAGCTCGAAGCGCTACCACGTGTTTTTTCTGGCCCAAGGCCGCTCTCACTGCATCTGTCTCGCGGGAAGTCCTTGTGCATGAGTTGGCATTTTGCAACAAATCTTCTGCTTACGTGGCCAAAGCCCGCGCCCTCGTGAAACTGCCCCTCGCAATTTTTCTTCGGGCTGTGGGCAAGGTGCTCGGTTGAAATGAGCGTCGGTTGGACCTTCCAGCAACCCTGACGTGTTGAATTATTGTTTCTTTTTGCTTGATTGCTTTCCTATACAGTGCGCCATGGAAAGTAGCACAAAATAACAGCTGACGCGAGAGGACAGGAGACATTGCCAGACATCCCGTTTGGCACGCGCCGCATGTACACCCTTTTTTTGCTCTACACTGTTAATAGCTATTATAACCGATCGGATTTACACACATCGATGCGTCCAGGATGGTCCATGCACATACGATATAAGCACGTTTTCTCGCACTCAACCGTACGCAAAAGCAAGGTTAGTTTTAAGAACCGCTGTGTACCGTTCTCCAGAAGTGTATTTGCCCATCACTACCTGCAGTTGGGCTGTAAGCACGAGACCGCTACGTTCCAAGCAACAGTAAGTACTGTAGCCTGTGAATCTCGTTATCAGTGTAGCGCAAAAAAAGGTGTATCCTTCCTACACCATCGATTTTCGAATTGCTACTGCTTTGTCGGCATTCGCTATGTTGCCGCTCATGTCCGTCTCCTTTGCAGAGGGTGATTTGTCTCTGGTCTCGCGTCTCTGTTCCATAGGCTTTGTTGTGACGATGTTATCGCAGGAACTACAATGTCGTTAGCATCATATCTGCATTCAACAATGCTGTTCCTAGGCTGTGGCTGTCGCGGCAGCTTCAACCCCGTCCATACATCATCCACAAATCAAGCGGATGAAATTATCGCAACCGCCATGGAATGAAGCATTTTTAGCGGCAATTGGTGAGCCGACAAGCTGCCAGTGAATCTCCAGAGGAGCCTATTAGGCCCGCATGTACCTTACCTCCATTTTAGAGCTTACATACGTCTACACTGTCTGGTGCTGTCCTGCCGTGCGCTAAATTGTACACACTCTCTCTCCACTCCAGCTTATCATCTCATCTCTCTCTCCCTCTCTCGCTTTCTCTCACTCGCTCCTGCTCGCGCCTGAAGCTCATTCAGCTTGTGAGCCTGCTGGGCTCAGGTAACTGAGATGCCCGTGATTCCCATCCCAACCCAACGCAGCACTTGTACACACGGCCCACAACAACTCGAGAACGTGTGGCCGCAAATTGGCGCTCCACGTTCACGAAGGGTCACGGTCGAGCCCTACGGAGTTTGAGCCTGGACATTCAGCTCAGGCCCTCGCGTTTCGAATTCGCATCCGTCCCAAGGTATCGTCACTAGGGCAATTACCTGAGGGACAATCCAGCGCCTCTTACACCACTGTAGGACGAGCATTCTAGAAGAGGCTAGACACAGCAAAGCATTGTAGAAGATTCCTTGTTTTTTCAAAATCGAAGGAAATAGTCCAGCTCCTAACACGCTGACTGTCTGACGTTCCGACCGACCCCATTAGTTACCTCACTTCGATTCGCTGGAGATTTGACCACGATCGGACATGGAGCAACATTCGATACTGAGCTGTATGTAATCCCATCAAATTCGTACTAATATCTTACTCTCTCCCGCGTCTCGGTCGCAGCACAGTGAGGGAAAAGGCTATTAGGACCAAATTAAGCGCATTGGAAAGTCTATAATTAGGCAAACCGCGCAGACCAATGGCTGGTGGAGGCGGCTCTGTCGGCGCAAATGGCGCCGCAGGTCCCGCCTTGTTTGCCGCACCCAAGCCGACTGGGATGGCGGCAATCGTGCAGCAATCCATGGCGGTTCAGTTCCTTGTCGACCCGACCACAGCCGCGATTCTCGGCTCGAGTAAAGGCGCGTCGCGCACGCTGGGTCCGGCTGTCAATGACCAGACGTCGCTCCTCGATATTACCTTTCTCTCGCAGAACAAATGGCGCCATTTGATTCGCCAACTCAGCCGCGGGAAGGTGGAAAAGGTTCATCTGCCCGGCATCATTCGGGCCAAGCAGCCTCGGATGTCCATGCGATTCTCCACGTCATCAGCGGCCGCGTCAGCGTCTATGGCAACTCCTAGAAAATCAGTTGCGGGTACCCCGAGAGAATCCAGGCCGTCGTCGTCCGACCGTTCATTTCACCAACCCGCAACGGCCACGATTGACCCAGCCGCGAGCCGCGCCTCCAGCGATTGGCTGGCCCCCGCAAGCCAAGCCAATGCCGGTTCAGTCACCAGCAGTGGTAGAAACTCCACTCGACCCAGTGATGTCTTAAAAGTCGACTTACCGGAAATCGATATTCCCAAGACCATCCCGACACCACCATCAATCCCGTCCAGTGGCAGTGGTGGCTCGAGTTCCACTGATGCGACTGCCGCGAGGCGCGACTCTTCTGGTGCGGGTCGTGGGTCGTATCCCCGCAGAATACGGACTGCGTCGTTTGGTCGAGCGGGCTCCTGCAACGAAGCGATTCCCGAGAACGGCGGCAGCGCGGCCGGCGGCGGGAACAACGCCGGAACTGACGCTCCCGCCTCCGTCTGGGCCGCAGAACATGCGGGGAGTGCGTACAACGAAGGAGCCTCAAAAGAGGGCGCTTCGTCTGGTGACCGGACCCCTTCGATATTGCGTGCGTCTCCGAGAGTGTTGCAAAAGCTTCCGTCTTCGTCGTCCCTCCCGCCGCTTCTTCCGGCAACGGATTCGACCGACAGCAGTAGCAGCGGACGAAGCAGCAGCAGCAACGACCGGCACGGCGGCTCGAGCCCGTGGGACGGCGGCCTTACCTCCCCGCCAACCCCCTCCCCGAACAGCATCATCCGGAACTGTCTTCCCGCCATGAGCGGAACTCCCAACGCGGCTGGCGCGGGCCGAATGGGCGCAAATCTGATGGTTGCGCGCGCGCCCACCCCGGCCCTCCCCTCGCCGCCGGAAGCGGAAGGAACGACTGCCAACAACGCTGTTTCGCCGGTGCCCAGCGAAGGGGGCAGCGCAAGCGCGGGACGGCGAGGGCCTGGAAGGATGATGTCGATTCGCGGACGTAAGACGGAGAAACGTGGGGTAAAAGGTGCAACGGAGAGTGAATCTGGCGAATTGAGCTTGCAGGGTTCGCCGCAGCAGTCGCAGCAGGAGCGGATGCAAATCGACGGCGAACAGCGCGGGGAGCCAGCGCTGGCGGAAGGGTCGGGGGAAAGCGTTTCTACGCACGCAGCTAAGCCTCCGCAGCAGAGACCAGCGGGCAGGGGGAGAGAGTGGCGGAAAGGTCTGAAGAGTTTGTTCGGGTCAAATTCGGTCAAGCGGAGAGGGGAAGTGGAGGAGGGGTGCAGTGTCAGAGGGGGGGAAAACACAACTGGCGGAGTCGAAACCGTTGCGACGGGGGAAGCGGAGGCAGCAGATACGCGAATGGGGGAGGTGAGCTCACGGGAGGAGGAGGCAGAAATGTCGAGCAGCGATTTTGTAACGGGGATGAGTACAGCGGAGGTGGACGAGTCGGGTGACTTTCGGCGAGTTACGGTGGAGCTACAGTACTTCCAATTGAATTCCTCCAAGGACCTTGTTGCCACAGGTAATATTGACTTACCTCCAATGTAACATCCTCTCTTTAGGCCCAGCATCAGCACAAACAAATGTTGCAGCTGCAGAAGCTCATTATTGTTCTCTTCTATCTCATCTGATGCCTTTTATCAGCGAAAATGTACATCAAATCAACCCTACTCACGTCCTTTTCCTCGGTATTTATTCTTCCTATCCCCCCTCTGCTTTGCAGTTCAAGTCCTCCAGTCTCACGCTGAGCAGCAGCGGGAGGTGCAGCAGGCGCAAGCGGTTCTGCAGCTGCAGAACTACGCTGGACTGGGAACAGTAGTTCTAGAGGGTGTAGACGGTGTGGTAACCAGCTGTAACACCAGCGCAACATGCATCCTCGGATTCCCAGAGCCTTACATCATGGGGCAGACGTTACAACACTTCGTTGCAGAATCTGAGAAGGCTACTTTCGCTGTAAGTCCCGCTTTCTTTTCTCCCTCACGTCATTGCACAACTTCCCTTATCCCCGTTTTCTCCCTCCTTACTACTTACCCTCGCTCCCACCATGCCTCCAATCATCACTTTCACAGTATTCACTCCCATTTTCGTCATTTGAAAAATAAGCCTTCCTGCCGCATAACCTTTTCCCTTTTCCCCTTCCTCTAACCTCACTTTTCCCTCTCCCATCCCCCTCCTCCCACATTCTCAAACAATTCAGGAGGAGTACAGCAAGGTGCAGCAGGGTACTCAGGAGTGGACGCAACAGGAGATTCGGTTGAGAAAGATTGACCGAACCACAGTGGCAGTTCGGATCACTATGACTAGCCTATCCACTTCTGGCTCGTCTGCTGCTGCCCCCTCTGCTGCTGCCCCCTCTGCTGCTGCGCCTGCTGCCACCCCACCTGCCTCTACTGCTACTGCTGCCGCTCCCATTGGTGCCATGACGGCTGCAGCGGCTGCTGGTGCTGCTGCTCCTGCTGCTGCCGCTCCTGCCGCTGTTGCCGGCGACACAGATGCCAGCAACATGAGTCGCACAAGCAGCCATGAGAGCGGTTCAAGTGGGAGTGATGCAGGGCGAGCAGCAGTCAGAGAGCACACGGCGGTGCTCTGCATGTTTCAAGACATCAGCGCCCAGAAGGCCCTGGTAAGCATTGTGACTTGTTTGGAATGCAGTCAGAGTTGACTCAAGAGTCAACTAGCAGTCAGAGAGCACACGGCGGTGCTCTGCATGTTCCAAGACATCAGCGCCCAGAAGGCCCTGGTAAGCATTGTGATTCTGCAATTAAGCTTTCCCACAAGGCCCTGTTAAGCACTGTGATTCTGCGATTAAGCTTTCCCACAAGGCCCTGGTAAGCATTGTGATTCTGCAATTAAGCTTTCCCACAAGGCCTCGTAAGCATTGTGATTCTGCAATTAAGCTTTCCCACAAGGCCCTGGTAAGCATTGTGATTCTGCAATTAAGCTTTCCCACAAGGCCCTGGTAAGCATTGTGATTCTGCAATTAAGCTTTCCCACAAGGCCCTGGTAAGCATTGTGATTCTGCAATTAAGCTTTCCCACAAGGCCCTGGTAAGCATTGTGATTCTGCAATTAAGCTTTCCCACAAGGCTCAACTTTCCCTCCTCCCTGCCACCTCTTCCCCCATCTCCCCCTCCTCCCCCTCCTCTCCCCCCCCTCTTAGGAGCAACACATGGAGAACTGCCGCATGAAGGTGGAGCACTTCCCTGCGGGCTGTTAGGCATCCTCTCGCCCTCACTCACGCACCCCAGCTTCCCTTCCTCTCGTTGCCACCTCTTCCCCACCCCTCCTTCCTGAGGAGCAGCACATGGAGAACTGCCGCATGATGGTGGAGCACTTCCCTGCCGGCGCGGTGCTAATCTCCCACGCGGGCGAGGAGGGCGAGACCATCCTCGTTCACAGCGCGCTCAAAGCCATGCTGGGCTCTCCTCACCCTCTTACCCTTCCCTCATTCCCCCCCCCCCCTCCTCTCTCAGGAGCAACACATGGAGAATTATAGAATGATGGTAGAACACTTCCCGGCTGGCGCTGTCTTGATCTCACATGCGGGCGAAGAGGGTGAGACCATCCTCGTCAACAGCACTCTCGAGGCCATGCTGGGCTGCGAAAAGGGCTCCATTAACAGCGTCGACAAATGGTTCACTACACTATACGCGGAAAAAGCGCGCCGCGCGAGGCAGCTCCACGAGGCTCGGCGCGTGTCTGGGAGCAGCAAGGATGTGACGAACACGGTGCAGCAGATTAAGAAGAAGGACGGGTCGAAGCTGGTGGTGGATGTGACGACGTATCAGTTTGACCTGGGGGAAATGTGGCTCGTGAATGACATCACCGAGAGCCGCAAGAACCAGTTCAAGTTCCGCATGCTCTTCGAACTGTCCTCGGTATGTGCTGCCCCAGTCTCTCTATTATGCTCTCTTGCATATGCATGCTTTCGTCCACGTGTGGCTCGTGAATGACATCACCGAGAGCCGCAAGAACCAGTTCAAGTTCCGCAGGCTCTTCGAGCTCTCCTCGGTGCGTGCTGCCTCGGTCGAAACCACCACCCCCTCGCGTGAATCCTCCATGCAATCCATAGCTTCCTTCCGAGTGCATGCGCTTCGTTTCTCACCTTTACTGGCCTTCTTTCTCTCTCTGTCTCGCTCTTCCCCTCTTCCCCTCTTCCCCTCTTCCCGCACCTTCAGGATCCCAAGCTGCTGCTCAACCAGGATGGGCGCGTGTTTGACTGCAACCAGTCCGCCATCCGCATTCTCAAGTGCGGCACCAAGGAATCGCTCCTAGGCAAGACCCCCTGGGAACTCTGCCGTCCGCAACAGCCCTCAGGCCAGCGCTCCGCGTTCCTCAAGGCCGTCCTCGACGACCTCGCCGCCAGCAATAACGTCCCCGCGCCCGCGGGCTCCGCGGGAGGAGTCCCGGGCGCGACGGTGCTGAGCGGCGCGTCCGCGGTGGGCGGGGAGAAGCGGTACCGATTCGATTGGCTGTTCGAGGACGAGGAGGGGCAGGACGTACCGGTGGAGGTGTTATGTAAGATGGTGAATTTCTTTGGCGAGCCGGTGTATCTGATGGTGTGGCACGACATGGCGGAGGCGCGGAAACAGGAGGCGGAGCTGCGGAGGGCGAAGGCGGAGGCGGAGAAGGCGAGCAAGGCGAAGACGCAGTTTTTGGCGAATATGAGCCACGAGATCCGCACGCCCATGAACGGTGAGATTTGGATTTTCCCACCTGATCCCACTCGATTTACGTCTCGTCATCGCACTGCCACTATCATGCATGCTGAGCGGACGGCTCATCCCCCCTTCCTTTCCCCCTTCTTTCCCACGCTTCTTTCCCCGCGCTTCCTTCCCCGCGCTTCTTTACTCTCCCGCATCCAGGAATCATTGGCGTCGCTGATCTGATGCTCGCGACGCAGCTCTCTCCGGAGCAGTGCTCGCTGCTCGAAACCCTAAGATCGTCGTCCGAGGGCCTGCTACACATTCTCTCCGACATCCTCGATTTAAGCAAGATCGAGAACGAGAAGATGGTCCTCGATTTTAGCAACTGGCGGTTGCGGGAGAACGTGAGCAACTGTGTCGCGCTGTTCCACGGATCCGCAACCGGGAAAAACATCCGCATTAAAGCGCGAGTCGATAAGGACGTGCCTATCGAGGTCTTCGGAGACTGCATGCGCGTGCGTCAGGTGGTCACTAATCTACTAAGCAACGCGATTAAGTTCACGCCGGCCGGGGGACACGTGTCGGTGCGCGTCAGCCTCGTGGATCCGCACGCTCCGGGCCGTGGAAAGCGGCGGGAGTCGTTCTCGAGTTTGGAGCCGCTAAGAGAAAACGCGGACATGGATAAAGTGGTGGTGCAGTTCGAAGTGAAAGACACGGGCATCGGGATTCCTCCCCATGCTCAGAAGAACCTTTTCCAAGCCTTCAATCAGGTACGTCGCAATAAATCTACACCAAAAACGATTTTCTATCATCTGTTAGAGAGCTGATTCTTTTTTCATTTGTGTCGATGTGGATCATATTTATCAGCTTGGATTGTTTCTAAATGATCCGCTCACTTGTTTTTATGCAGGCTGACAACTCCACATGTCGGAGGTTCGGAGGAACAGGCCTTGGCTTGGCTATTTGCAGGGCGCTTGTCAACCTCATGGGTGGCGAAATCAACCTTACAAGCGAAGAAGGAAAGGTGAGAGCGTCTTTATAACCTTTTCTTTCCCCTCCTTTTTTTTCTTCGCCAGATGATTTTGATGCTTCGCCTTGTTAGGTATCTCACTGACACATTATGTGTCTCCTCTATCTTTATTCTTTTGCAGGGCTCTTCGTTCACCTTTACAGTGTGCCTTGGGGTCACAGAAGCCGCTCCAAGTGACGTGGAGAGCGCAGGGGAGGAAAGCATTGGCGATGAGGAGAGCGAGGAAGAGGAGGAGGAGGAGGAGGGAGAGGAAGACGAGTACGAGGAGGGCGAGGAAGAGGAGTGGGATGAGCTGGGCGAGGAGGACGAAGGAGGGGTAGAGGATGATATGAACATGGAAGGAGAGGGCAACATGCCTGAGAGTCAAACGGACGACGAGGAGGAGCATTGGGCGAGGCACTTGGTTCGGGCAGCAACCGAGATTGCCATTGGCCGGTCCCGAAATTCTCGGTCTCGGAAGGGAGGGAACAAGGAAGAAGCAAGCACACATGGAGGCCGTGTGCTGAAACAACATCACTCCATGGATTGCGACAGTGACGCTATGTTTGAGACGTCTCGGTCGCAAATGACAACTCCCACCTCTTCTTCTTCTTCTCGGTCCATCTGGTCTGCAGGGAGCCGGAGAATCAACCGCAGCCCGACCCCTCGGCACAAGAAGGCTCTGCGTCGGGCAGATTCTAAGGAGATTTTCCTGCCCATTGCGGTGCTGGCCAATACCAGCACCAGCAGCAGTACCAGTAGCGGCACTAGTAGTGGTGCAGCGGGTGCCTCTGAGTGTCAATCCCGGCTTCCTAATTCCTCAGCGGCAACACCAGCAGCTCCAGCCATTCCTGCTTCACCCACCCTCACCTGGCCTCCCATCATCTCTGCCGCTTCTCCTGCTGACAATGACTCTTCCTCTGCTGCTCCTACCCCTGCTGCCACTGCTTCTGCTGCTCCTACTGCTTCTGCTGCTCCTGCTGCTCCTAGTTATCCGCCTCCCCCCAGCCCTGCCACTATCTCTGCTGTCCGAAGCCTGTTCAGCAAGTCTAAGAGTGATAATTACTTGCTGAAACCGAGTGCAACGGAGGGAAAATTCCTCACCCGCAGCAAGAGTAAACCCAGGAACCTACAAACCGCAGGGAGCAGCAGAGGGAGCGCCGACAGGAGTGCAGACAGCAATAGCAGCAGCAACACAAGCAACAGCAACAGCGGCGGCAGCGGCGGCGGCAGCAGCAGCAGCAGCAGCAGTAGAAGTATCCATAGGGCCAGAAGCACAAACAGCTTCACGGAGAGGATTAGTGGCACTAGCGGCAGCAGCAGCAGCAGCAGTGTTCGCAGGAGCAGCAGTACAACTAACCTCAAAGAAATGGCCAACAACAATACCTCCACCAGCAGCAGCAACAGCGCCACCACCGGCAGCAGCAGCAGCACGAGCAGAAACGGCAGCAACGGGCGACGAGTGTCTATCGCCATATCTAAACCCTCCTCGTCCTTCAAATCTCACTCATTACAAGACTGCTCCGGGCCTCCCCCTCGGCGATGCAAGACACAGGAGAGACCCCCTCGCTCCCCTTGCTCCAAATCATCCCCAGCCATCCCTCTCACTTCCCCCCTGGCTTCTGTGAAACGAACCGGCAGTGCCCAATCTCTCGTAAATGCCGGAAAAGGAGGAGGTTCGGGGCATGGGGGGCACGGCTGTCACAAGAAGGTTTTCACGGACGAGCTGCCCGAGAAGCTGCCCGAGTGTGTGAAGACGTGGAAGGTTTTGGTTGCGGAGGACAACACGGTGAACCAGATGGTGGTGACCCGCATGTTGAAGAACCTTGGGATTGCCACGGAGGTGGCAGAGAATGGGCTGAAGGCGCTCCACGCGTGCGAGAACAACCACTACGATTTCATCCTCATGGTGAGTGTGCCTTCTGTGAGCGTAAGAACATTCTGCTCTGTTTCTCTTTTGGACTGATTCCTAAGTTATTTCAGTCTACGCAGATTACGGGAACAACATGGCTGCTCCCTTCACACATCAGCTCACTCTTAGCCTCTGATCCCCCCCCCTTTCACTACCTTCCCTAATTCTTATCCTTTCCTCTCTGCAGGACTGTCACATGCCGGAGATGGATGGGCTGGAGGCCACAAGGCAGATCCGTAATGCGGAGCAGCTGCTGCCAAGCCGGCCGCCCAAGTTCATCGCAGCGCTCACTGCCAGCGCGTTCGACTTCGAGAGAGAGGCGTGCTTTGCTGCTGGCATGAACCACTTTCTGACCAAGCCGATTCGGCCGAAGGATTTGGAGGACCTTGTGATGAAGCTGGTGGAGATGCGCAAGTGATGCGGTGTGGTGCGATGAGGACAACCTTATTGTGGGATGGGATGCGATCCATAGTGATGCGGCGTGTTTTTTAACTCGCATGTAATGAAGTGAGGAGTTCTACATTTGGCATGGAAGCGAAGGTTGGCTAATGTGGAGGATGGGGAACAGGCCCTCGGATTGGTTTGAGGGTATGCTGATGGATCAGCGTGCCCCGGTCGCCCAGGTGTCCAAATCAGCGTTCATGGTTTTCTTTATACTGATTTTGCCAGTGTAAAAGTTATAAGTAAGCTGAACCATCAGTGCAGCCACAGTAGCAGCCAACACGGGCGTGCCAGACAGGGTCTTCAAACGGTTGGGCAGATGGCGAAGCGGCTCAGCAAAGGAAATGTATGATACACCATACGTCGAGCCTCTTATCGAAGCCTCCTGTGACCTACAAGACATGACGCATGCAGCATCATCGGCACAACACTCAGAGGCACTCGTACACAACCGGAGGCCCCTGCTGCCCATGTCTCAGAGACCCCATTTGTAATGAGAACGATGCCAATTGATAAGAATAAGAAAGCACGCTTTCTCAATATTATAAATTCTTAACACACATTGTGTTTTTTAAAATTGTGTATTGTGAAAGCGAAGCTGCTTGTACTGCACAATTGGCATCATCGAAGCGCGCTAAACGCCGTTCTCCAACTACAAAAACCGTGGGTTGGAGTTCATTTCCCTCCACCCACGCTTCTCGATTTTCCAACGGCTCACTCAACATTTCTGCTCACGTAGTTTATCCCTCCGTCCAAGCTGGCTAGAACAAAATCGCTTCCTAGAGGCGAGTCACCTTCGACCTTACTCAACGATATTTTTAACTTCAATCGCTCAACGATGGCACCGACGCCGACACTTAACAACGGGAACTCGTCCAACCCCGCCTCTGACAACGACCGTAACACCCGCGATTTGGCGGGCGAACGCCGTAACAAGCGACGGGCAGAAGATGGACCGCCCGCCCCGACTGCAGTGGACGTGCTGCTGGGCGGGCTCGAGGTCAACAATTCGGCCAACGCCCAGCAGCACCCTTCGGCGCCAGTGGCGCCAGTGACGCCTGAGGTGCCTGTGGCGCTAGTGGCACCTGCGGCGCAAGTGGCACCTGCGGCGCAAGTGGCGATGGCCGCGGGCGTGGCACACGCCAGTGACGCTGAGCACACGCCAGCACCCGCGGCTGGACCGTCGCGTCAGCGCCAGACGAGGCGGACGGCGGTCTCCTCGTCTGACGCGACGACCGCCCCTGCGTTGACGCAGCCGTTGACCCCGGACCAGGTCAACGCGCTGCTGTCCCTTCTACAGCAGCAGCCCGTCAGCGTTACAGCCGCGGAAACTGCACTACCCGCTACATCTGCGTCGGCTAAAAAAGAAAATGCGAAAAAAGAAAAAAGGCGCGCGAGGAGCAAGGACCATTCGGCACGACAACGACGCAGCAGCAGCAGCACCCCCCGCTCCAGCGGTCGACAACGACACCGACGACTCTGAAGATGAAGCCGGTGAGGCCCCAGTCAACAATGTTAATTTTAATGGCACGGAACACCTTCCCCCCCTCCCTTCTTCTAACCTCACCTTCTCGGCGGCAACATTCGTCAACGACTCCGTGCCAGAGCAAGCGGAGCTGCTGGAGGACTTACGCGCGTACCTGCTGCACGCGGAATATAAGGCGCAGCGCAGAGACCCAGCGGGCGGACTCGAACTCATCTCGCACGCTCTCAACCTCATCTCGGTGCGTTTCGAGGTGCTTCAAGTAGAGGACGCATCCGACTTCCGCACGGCGAAGCGCTTCAAGTTGTACCAGCAGAAGAGCCTGCTGACTTCTCGACCCTTCAAGCAGGCGGTCGCAGACATGGCGGCAATGGACCGTGCGGCAATCGGATATGCTCGTGCCAACCGCGGCGGAAACAACGCGCCGTTGCCGTTTTTACCCAAGCGGGGCCCCCCGCCCACGGCCAATTGCCGCGGGTTTCGGGGCTCGTGCTTCCGCTGCGGCCAGCCGGGCCACGTGGCAAGTGCCTGCCCTAGGAACGGGCACGGCGGCCAAGGACCCGCTCCGGTGGTGTAGGAGCGGGCCATGGGAATAGGCGCTTGAGCGCTAGGCACGGTGCACTCTTGAGTGCGAAAACCGTGGGCAACCCTAGGGGTTTGCGATGGCAAGAGGCCAGCCCTAGTGAAGGGTAGGAATAGGCTTTGGGCCTAGGATAGGGAAGGGGAGCAACAACCCCCTCGGTCCCATGTAGTTCACCACTCAGTAGCATGATGCATGCTAGGAGAGCATTGCTATGTGTGTTGGTTGATTTGATTTAAAAAAAAAAAAAAAAAAAAAAAAAAAAAAAAAAAAAAAAAAAAAAAAAAAAAAAAAAAAAAAAAAAAAAAAAAAAAAAAAAAAAAAAAAAAAAAAAAAAAAAAAAACTACCTTCTTAAAAGCCTACTGTTTTGGCAAAGAGACTCTGAAACAATCAAGAGGAGGATCAGAAAGAGAGAAAGTGTGTTGTCAGAACATTATAGCTTATATATTTGTGTAGGCTATAGTGGGGTATCCCATAGGGGGTACAACCCAATTAGGGTTTCCTATTTGTACTCACTTCGTTCATAGTCATTTCATTCTCGTTCACTTCTTCTCATGGTATCAGAGCAGGTTCCCCTGTGGGAACTGTGCTTAGGGCCCACCACCACTACCTCGTAACTTTTTTTTCTGCCCGGAGCGTCCTCCGGGCCCTTTCTCTTCTTTTTTTTTTTTCGATCTGCCCTAACGGCCCCTCGAGCCTGAGCGCCGCCCGCCCTAGCGCCATAGCGCGGCCCGCCCTAGCGCCATAGCGCGGCCCGCCCTAGAGCCTGACGACCGCCCGCCCTAGAGCCTGAGCGCCGCCCGTCGCCGCCCTAGCGCCCGCGCGCCCGCTAGCCGCCCGACGCGCCGCCCGTGCGCAGCCCGGGCGCTGCCCGTGCGTCGCCCTCAGCAGCTCGACGCGCCGCCCGTGCAGCCGCCCGTGAGCTGCCTGTGCGCCGCCCGACGACCCTCCCGGGCAACTGCCCGTGCTGCCGCCCGTGCAGCCGCCCGCGCACCCGCCCGTGCAGCCGCCCGCGCACCCGCCCGTGCAGCCGCCCGCGCACCCGCCCGTGCAGCTGCCTGTGCAGCCGCCCGTGCAGCCGCCCAGCATGCAGCCGCCCTCAGCCGCCCGTTCAGCCGCCCGTGCAGCCGCCCTCAGCTGCCCGCTCAGCCGCCCGTGCAGCTGCCTGTTCAGCCGCCCGTGCAGCCGCCAGTGCTGCCCGTGCAGCCGCCCGTGAAGCCGCCCGTGAGCCGCCCGTGGGCAGTCCGTCACGACGCCCGCGCCGCCCGTGTCACCCGAGCCGCTGAACGCCCGAGCCGCCCGAGCCGCCCGAGCCGCCCGAGCCAACCGAGCCGCCCGAGCCGCCCAAGCCGCCCGAGCCGCCCGAGCCGCGCGAGCCGCCCGAGCCGCCTACGGTGCCGAGCGCCGGGTCCTGTGGGGCTGCTGCTACTCCTAGGCCGGCGGAGTTGCTGAGCTGCCGTGTTGCTGTCCTACTGAGCTGCTCGACCCTTCCTCTCTGGTGAGACTGTCGGCTGCTATTATGGCCACCCCTAGTGTCCTGGCCTTTGACGCTGAGGGTCGCGCCATTGACTTTGCGGTCTGGGTCGAGGACCTGCAGCTGTACTTGCAGTGCGATTCAGTAGATGACATCTCTCTCTTTGACTTTGCCTCTGGCGCTGTCCCTGCCCCTCCTGCTGATGCTGACCCCACTGTTCGCTCCAAGTGGGCCACACGCGATGCTGCTGCACGTCTTGCTGTGCGTCGCCACCTCCCTTCCTATGAGCGTGCACACTTTAGTCAGTGCAAGACCGCTCAGGCCTTGTACGACGCTGTAGTTACGCGCTACTCCTCCCCTTCCACTGCTACACTGAGCCGCCTCATGCTACCTTACCTCTTCCCTGACCTTGCTGCCTTTCCTACAGTCGCTGACCTCTTTACCCACCTTCGCGCTAGTGACACTCGCTACCGAGCTGCGCTTCCTGCTGCCTTCTGCGCCGAAAACCCCCCTCCCATGTACATCACCTTCTACTTTCTAGTCACCCGTCTCCCTGAGTCCCTTCGTGCTGTTAGGGACCAGTTTCTCTCTGTCTGTCCCACCACCCTCACTGTCGACCTCCTCGAGAAGTCCCTGTTAGCGGCCGAGAAGAGCATAGTCGCTGTAGGGGCCTCTCGTGGTGACCCCCGCACCCCCATCTTTGAGGGGTGTTCTCCTTCCCCCCTGTTACCCTTTGTCGCCTCTGCTGCTGCGGCCGACCTCGTTGGTCTAGAGTCGGTCGGTGCGGCGTCTGCCCCCAGCGGTAGGCGCCGCTCTGGCAAGGGCAAGGGGGGCAAGGGAGCGGGTGGAGCTAGCGGGGGCGGTGGCGGAGGAGGTGGGGGCGGCGGGGGGGGTGGGGGTGGCGGTGGAGGTGGGGGCGGGGGTGGAGGTACTAGTGGCGGCAGTGGAGGCGGAGGTGGCGGCGGAGGTGGCGGTGGAGGTGGCGGTGGGAGCGGCGGGGGCGAGGGTGGCGTTGGCGGCGGTGGCGGCGGAGGCGGGGGTGGCGGTGGTGGAGGTGGTCGGAGTGGCTCGTCCCAGCGGAGCAGCACTGGGGGTGGTCAGCGCCAGCAGCAGCAGCAGCAGCAGCAGCATCGCTCTCGCGACGTCCCCGCCCCTCAGCAGCTCCGTGAGTGGTACTTGCAGCGTCAGCGTGGTGGGGCGTTCGGTCCCTGCACCTACGTCCTTCGCACCGGCGTCCGTGCGGGTGAGCAGTGTGGGGGCACCCACACCGCCCGCCGCTGCTTTGCCCGCCTGACCGACGCTTGGCGCCAGCAGTTTCCGGAGGCCTCTGAGATCCCCCGCTGGGGAGAGCTATCTAGGGCTGGTGTAGCTATCTTTGATCTGGACTTTGATGCTATCCTTGCTGCCATGTATGCTGTGACTGTTAGTGATGAGGGTGACTGTTACCGGTGTTTCCCGCCCGACCCGGGCATTGGTACTGCCGCGTCAGGTGCCAATGAGGCTGCTGCTCTAGGTGCCAGTGCATCTGTGCTCTCAGGTACTAGTGAGTCTGCACTCTCAGGTACTGTGTCGGCTTCGGCCTCTCACACCTTCACCCTTGACTCTGGGGCGTCTCACTCCTTCTTTCGGGACTGCACCACTCTCACGCCGCTTAGTCGGCCGGTTGCGGTGTCCCTGGCTGACCCCTCTGGGGGTCCTGTCCTGTCTCGTTTCCCGGCGGCTCCCTCTGGCACCCTGTGTGGTCTCTACCTCCCCTCGTTCTCTACGAACCTAGTGAGTGGTGCTGACCTACAGGATGCGGGTGTCCACCAGTTCACTCCTGCTCGTCAGCGGGTGACACAGTGCACAGAGGCTAGCACAGGTCGCCATCTGGCTACGTTTACACGTCAGCCAGGGTCGAGCCTGTACACACTGACCACTGCTTCTCCTCCAGGTGCTGAGTCTGGTAGGGTCTCTTCGTCTGGTCAGGTGTTTGCTGCAGCGTCCAGGTCAGGTCCTAAGTCTGCCCCCTGTTCGTGTCGCCGTCTGTCTCACGAGACCCTCCTCTGGCACCACCGCCTTGGCCACCCCTCTCTGCTTCGGCCCAGAGGCATGGCCTCCCGTCTTCTTGTGTCTGGTCTCCCCCCGTCCCTCCCTCCCCTTCCTCAGGGCCCTGGCCCTGCCTGTGTCCCCTGTATTGAGGGGCGCCAGCGTGCTGCCCCTCACTCCTCCCAGTTTCCTCCGATAGAGGCTCCGTTGCAGACGCTTCACATGGACGTGTGGGGCCCTGCCCGCGTCCGTGGACTCGGTCATGAGCGCTACTTCCTGTTGGTGGTTGACGACTACTCGTGTTACACCACAGTCTTCCCCTTGCGCAGCAAGGGTGATGTCACTGAGGTGCTGATCGACTGGATCCGCGCGGCTCGTCTCCAGCTCAGGCAGAGCTTTGGCTCGGACTTTCCTGTGTTGCGTCTGCACTCGGACAGAGGCGGAGAGTTCTCCTCCGCCCTTCTGCGTGCCTACTGTCGTGCGCGAGGCATCCGCCAGACCTTCACGCTTCTGGACTCACCGCAGCAAAATGGGATTGCAGAGCGCCGCATTGGCATGGTCATGGACGTCGCTCGTACGTCTATGATGCATGCGGCTGGCCCCCATTTTCTGTGGCCGTTTGCGGTCAGGTACGCGGCGCATCAGATCAACCTCCACCCTAGGGTCTCTAGGCCGGAGACCTCCCCAGCCCTGCTGTGGACGGGGAAGGTTGGCGATGCGTCGGCGTTCCGGGTCTGGGGATCTCGGGCGTTTGTCCGCGACTTGTCTGCGGACAAGCTGTCCCCTCGCGCTGCTCCCTACGTCTTCCTGGGGTTCCCCCCCGACGCCCCTGGGTGGCAGTTCTACCACCCCACCTCTCGACGTGTTCTGTCCTCTCAGGACGTCACGTTTGACGAGTCGGTACCCTACTACCGCCTCTTCCCCTACCGCACTCCGTCCCTCCCCCCGCCCCCGCTCTTCTTGGTACCACGTCCCCCCTCGGTCGACCCCCTCCCCCCTCAGGGTCGTGCCCCTTCAGGTGTGTCCCATGTAGACGCGGTTGAGCCTGTCGAGGTCAGTGGTGACTCTGGTGCTGCTGCGGGAGCTGAGCCTGGGGGTGCTGGGACTGGAGGTGCTACGCCTGGGGGTGCTGAGACTGGGGGTGCGGAGTCTGAGGGTGCTGAGCCTGGGGGTACTGAGCCTAGGGGTGCTGAGCCTGGGGGTGCTGAGCCTAGGGGTGCTGGGCCTGGGGGTGCTGAGCCTGGGGGTGCTGGGCCTGGGGGTGCTGAGCCTGGAGGTTCTTCGCCTGGAGGTTCTCCGCCTGGAGGTGCTTCGTCTTGCCGAGAGCCACTCTCCCCACAGGAGCTGCGTGAGTGGTTTGCCCAGCGCTGGATGCGTGCTGCTGGTGCTGGAGGTTCTTCGGCTGCAGAGGGTACTGCTGCCGCGCGTCCCGGAGGTGCTCGTACTGGGGGTACTGGAGCTGTTGGACCAGAGAGTTCTTCTGGAGCTGGTACTACTGAGGGTGTTGGCGCTGAGACTACCGCTAGCGGTCCAGCTGGCAGTGCTCCTGGTGCTGCTGGGGGTTGCGGGGCTTCTGGAGGTGCTGCTGGGGGTTCTGGAGCTACTGGAGGTGCTGCTGGAGGTGCTGCTGGAGCGGATACTCCTGCTGGGGGTACTGGTGCTGTCCCTGCTGTTTCTGGAGTCGCCTCGCGGCCCCGATCGTACTTCGTTCTGCTCCTGCAGCAGGTTCTTGGTCTTACACCTTCCCCTGGTCCTCCTCCTCCTCCCTTAGAGGGTCCACAGCCTGTCCAGTCACAGCTACAGCCTGCCTCCCCTTTGCCTGCTCCTTCTCCCTACGCTGGTCCGACTGGAGGTCTTACTGAGCGTCGTGAGCCTGCGTCTCGTCCTGCGTCGCCTGTTCGTACTGCGCGCACTAGTGGTCGCGGTTCGCGTCAGCGTCCTCCTCCTGTCCCTGGCACGCACCGGATGTCTCTGCGTCCATCCACTGCTCCTCTGCGTGCCCCTTTGCCTTCTCCTCCTTCTTCCTCTCTTCCTGCTCTTGCCGACCCGGAGTCGGACTCTCTTCGTGCTGCGAGTCCTACTGTCACGCGTCTCCTTGCTACTGCTGTCACTGACCCTTCTTTCGAGTCTTCTGCTGGTTCTGCTCTTGTCACTGAGCTCGTCGACTTTGCTGCGCGCTGTCGTCTAGACTACGCTGCTAGTCTTGTCGCTGAGTCTGAGTCTGTCTGTCCTCCGTCCGTCGGGGGTGAGTGTGCTCTTGGCACGGACGTCCTTGAGGACAGGCAGGAGGAGTTCCAGTGTCTGGTCGCCGCTTCACCTCATCTCGTGTCCGTACTGCTAGCCCCTGAGGGAGACCCGGATGCACTTGACATCCCGACTCCGCGCTCTTACGCGGAGGCGATAGAGGGTCCCGACTCCTCTCAGTGGCAGGCAGCTATGGATGCAGAGATGGCTTCCTGGAAGTCCACAGGCACCTACGTTGACGCTGTTCCCCCTCCTGGGGCGAACATAGTCAGTGGCATGTGGATTTTCAGGGTGATGTGGCCGCCGGGTTCTCCGCCTGTCTTCAAGGCGCGTTACGTGGCTCGTGACTTCAGTCAGCGGCAGGGAGTTGACTTCTTTCAGACCTTCTCCCCCACCCCGAAGATGACCACTCTTCGGGTACTGCTGCACGTTGCTGCTCACCGTGACTACGAGCTGCACTCTCTCGACGTCAGCACTGCTTTCTTGCAGGGCAGCCTGCACGAGGAGATCTGGCTGCGTCGCCCACCTGGCTTCACTGGGTCTTTCCCTCCTGGTACCCAGTGGAGTCTCCGGCGTCCAGTCTACAGTCTCCGCCAGGCGCCACGTGAGTGGCACGACACACTGAGGACTACGCTGGCGGCACTTGGGTTTGCTCCTTCTACTGCCGACCCGTCGCTGTTTCTGCGCACCGACACCTCTCTGCCGCCGTTCTACATCCTCGTGTACGCCGACGACTTGGTCTTTGCCACAGCTTACACTGCTGGACTCGCCTACGTGAAGTCCGAGCTGCAGAAGAGACACACGTGTACTGACCTGGGTGAACTGCGCAGCTACCTTGGCTTGCAGATCACCCGGGACAGAGCACGCCGCACCATTACCCTGACTTTGTCACACATGGTGCAGCAGGTTCTTCAGCGCTTCGGCTTCACGTACTCCTCGCCTCAGGCCACTCCTCTGCCTACTCGCCACTCGCTCTCAGCTCTGCCTTCGGATGAGTCCGTAGAGTCGAGTGGCCCGTATGCAGAGCTTGTTGGCTACCTCATGTACCTGATGACCTGCACACGACCTGACCTTGCATACCCTCTTAGCATTCTCGCATGCTATGTTGCTCCTGGGAGACACCGACCAGAGCACATGGCTGCAGCGAAGAGGGTGTTGCGCTACTTGTGCAGCACGTCGGGCATGGGGCTAGTGCTTGGAGGGCGCAGTCCAGTGGTCCTCACTGGGCACGCGGACGCTTCTTGGGCTGACGACCAGGCTACGCAGCGGTCGTCATAGGGCTACACCTTCAGCCTTGGTTCCGGCTCTGTTTCGTGGCGGGCTACCCGCTCATCTTCTGTTCTCAGCTCTAGTTGTGAGGCTGAGATCTACGCGGGGGCTATGGCTGCCCAGGAGCTTCGCTGGCTCACCTACCTGCTGATCGACCTTGGAGAGCCGCCGCGTTCTCCTCCAGTCCTGTACGTAGACAACAAGGCCATGCTGGCCTTGTGTCGAGAGCAGCGACTGGAGCACAGGACAAAGCACATTGCTCTCCGCTACTTTCTTGCTCGTGAGCTACAGCAGCGTGGACAGTTGCGACTTGCGTATGTGGCCTCTGAGGCCAACACTGCTGATGTCTTCACCAAGGCACTTGCGCCCTGTGATCATCAGCATTGCTGCACGCAGCTGGGTCTTGTGCCTGTCTTGCCTCACTTGCTCACTTCTTGACCTTGCCTGTACGTTCACCTATATATACTCTTGTTCTTGCTTGCTTGACTCTTGTATATCTCTATATGTGATCTTGCATGTGAACTGGCCTTTTGGCCTTTGAACTTGTGCTCGGAATGTGTGGTGACTTTGTGATCCACCCTGAGCTCTGCTTTGCTTTGCTTGACTGGTCTTGTGACCCCTTGTTCTCCCCCACTTTGCCTATGGGGGTGTGTAAGAACATTATAGCTTATATATTTGTGTAGGCTATAGTGGGGTATCCCATAGGGGGTACAACCCAAGGTTTCCTATTTGTACTCACTTCGTTCATAGTCATTTAATTCTCGTTCACTTCTTCTCATGTGTGTGTGAGAGAGAGCAGGAGAGAGAGAGAGAGAGAGAGAGAGAGAGAGAGAGAGAGAGAGAGAGAGAGAGAGAGAGAGAAAGAAAGAGAGAAAGAGAAAGAACGAGATACAACATGGTGGGCACGCATGTCCATGATTCCACGCACCAGCCCCCACGAACTACGAGTAAGAGAGAGCATGAAAGAGAGAGGGAGAGGGAGAGAGCGCGAGAGAGAGAGAGAGAGAGAGAGAGAGAGAGAGGGGGGGAGGGAGAGAGATGGAGAGAGAGAGAGAAAGAGAGAGAGAGAACAAGAGAGAATAAGAGAAACACAATGGACAAGTGTGTCCATGGCCATAGGCATCATCTCCCATGCAATAAGGGCAGGCACAACCACATCCTACCGAGTGCACGATGGGCAAAAAAAAAAAAAAAAAAAGCGGAGGAAACCAGGAGAAGAAGAAGCGCCGTTTCGGGCGCGACACATTCGTTGACATTTCCGTCGGTTTTCATTTTCTTCACACATTTGATCAATGGTTGCCCGTACATGTACATGCACATAAATGCTTTAACATGGAATACTCAACCCGTATACCACTTGGCCTCCCATGCACAGGAGCACGACGGTGCGAGGCGGCAGGCTACGATGACCTGTACGAATTTGCCGTTACAGACAGAACTATTACACAGATGCGCGGTCGTCTTCGCGCGACCTTTGCATGGTGGAGCTCATGGTGCCCCAGCAGCCTCGTTCTCTCCGTCATCGCCAAGGGTTACTGGTTGCCATGGAGCCACGGCCCACCACAACCTTTCCACGATCGCAATCATGTCGGGGCGAACACGCATGCCACGTTCACACGTACCGCCATCCAAGAACTCATAGAGACGGGAGCGGCAGTTCCGATGGCCGCAACGGAGCTCAAGTGCATAATTCCACTTAACGTGGTCGAGCAAAAAGACAAATGCAGGCTCATTCTTGATCTGAGAAAGGTCGACGCCAACTTGATTGTCCCCAAGTTCAAGTACGAGGGGCTCAGCCTTGTCGCCGACCTGGCGCGCGTTGGGGACTGGATGTTCTCCATTGACCTCAAATCTGGTTACCATCACATCGACATCCACCCATCGTGCTGGAAGTTCCTTGGCTTCGAATTCGATAGGCGCACATACGCATTTCGTTCACTACCATTCGGCCTCGCGACGGCTCCTTTCGTCTTTACACAGCTCATCAAGCAGCTAGCTCGGCGTTGGCGAGAACAAGGCATCCGAGTCGTACCTTACGTGGATGACATCTTGATTCTCTGCCAGTCGAAAGCCGATGC